CCGGGAGGCCTCAGGCACCCGGAGACCCAGCCACGCCTGCCCGGCTGAGGCCTGAGCGCTCCCCAGGCGCGGTCCCGGGCACAGGCCCCCCCGCGGGCGCGGTGCCCGCATCCTCCTCAGTCGCTAGCCCGCGGGGCAGGGGCGCAGCTTCTCGCGGCTGCCGCAGGCAGTCCTGGCCCGCCCGGGAGAGCGGCGGGTCCCCGGAGCCTCTCTGCAGGGGGACGGTGTGGGGTTTGGGGCCAGGAGGCCCACGGCGGACGCTGTCCCGACGCTTCAGCGGCTTTCAGCACGAGGTTCTGCCCCCTGAACCTGAGGGCGGCAGAAAGCGCGTCTGGCAGGAGCGTTGCGGGGGGGCCGGGCCGCCGCCGCCGGGAGACCAGCAGACCCCCTTCCCGTCGTGCAGGCTCCGGGGGGCTGCACCCCCCCGGGGCCTGGGGAGCGGTACGTCCGCTCCCGCCCGGTCCCACCGCGGGCGGGGGAGGAGCTTAGCGCTGTGCGCACGTGCGCGGCCGGGGGGCGCGGCTGCGGGCGGGGAGGGGGCGGGGCTTCGGCCGCCCTTTCCCGCCGGGCCCCAGACGCGCGCCCCTGGCCCAGTTGCGCCCCCTGGGGAAGGCAAGGCCCGCAAAGAGAGTAGAACCGCTTTGTGGGGTCCTGGCTTCACACGAGGTCGGGCCGAACCTGCGGCACCTCCGCCGCCGGCGGGGGACGGGGAGGAGGAGCGACCTCCCTGCCCGGCACACCCACGAGGGGTCGCGGCGGGAGCGGGGCTGCGTCCCGGCCGAATGTGCGCAGGTGGCCCAGGAGGGAAGGAGGCACGTCCCCGCGCCGCTGAGGGAGTGCGGTTGCTGTTGAGGGGACAAATGACCCTCTTCCACATAGAAGAAAAAAGTAATGATGTTGTTTTGGGTGCGGGCCACAGGGACGAGAACGGGGCGGGTGCGTGGTGTGGGCCCCGCCTCCCGCCTCTGCAGGCAGGCACTTGCCACGTGCGCGCCTCTTTCTTTGGCTCGAGCGACGCCAAGTTGCGAATGGAGTCAGCTGCGCCCTTCCCGGTTTCGCACTGCCACCAGGTCGGCTCGGAGGGGCAGTTCCCTCTGCCCGGAACGCGGCCCTTCCGCCCTCCTTCCGCACACCCCCCAGCAGAACGTGGCGGGCCCCGGGGCTGCTCTCCCACCCCGGGAACCCAGGGGCTCCTCTGGGGGAGACGCCAGGGCGCCCCCCGGGGGTGCAGTGTGCTGGTCCGCGGCAGCAGGCAGCCGCCCGGCTGACGTTCTGGGGCCGCCGCCCTCTACGGCGACCTGGGTCTAGCGAGTGAGTTCCAGAGACGGAGGACTCAGCCCAGCATTTAAAATAACGAACAATAAACGCCAGGACCCGAGATGACCCTGGGCAGTTGGGAGCCGGCCCTGGCGGTGCGAGGAGCTCCCCCCACCTCAGCCCCCCTGGGGCTTCTACAGTTCAAAGTGGACGTCTGTTCTGCTGTCTTCGCACCTGCACCCACCAACACCGGCCCTGATGCGAGAACCTGCGGCTGTTACTGCGCAGCTGCGACCGATCGCGCCGGCTCCAGCCCCAGGCGAGCGTGCGGGGCGGGCGGTGGGGGATGCTGACCCCCTGAGCTACACGCCCCAGGCCACGCCCGCGGCCGGATGAGTCCCTCCCCCGTGTGGACGTTCCCCAGCAGCCCCCCTCCGGAGGCCCCTCCTGGGCCTGGGGGACGCGCCGTCCACCGTGGAGGCTGTTGGCACGGCGGCGGCCCCTGGAGGGGCAGGGAGACCCTCGGCGTGGACCCTGCCTGGCTCTGGGCCACCAGCACAGCAGGCCCCCACCCCAGGCCCATGGCCAACCCACTCTGTCCAGAAAGACCACGCCGGGCGTGGACGGAGCGTCCGTGCACGCGCGTGCGCGCACGTGTTGCAGGACGCCTTCTCCCCTTCCGTGTCTGTCCTGACACCACCTCAGGGCAGGGTACGCGGGAGCAGGGCTCGGGGCGGGGGGCGCCTTCCCTGGGCCCGTCCCACCAGCTCAGAAAGTGAAATAAAAGGCCCTCCCTCTCCCTTTACCATTTTCCACACTTCCTTCTTTGAAGGGATCATGGGATTCAGACACGGTTGTTTCCCGGAAAGAAGGGAGGGCGTGCCTGAGCCGGGCGCACCCTGGGGTTCCCTGCCACCGAGGCTGCTGTGAGCTGCAGCCAAACCCCGCCTTGCGTCCCCCGGGAGTGCTCAGGGGGACGGGAGGTGACAGCCCTTCGAAATGCCTCTCCTCCCCTCGGCCCGCACCACGGCCCGCCTTTCCTTCCAGTAACTGGGCCACGGAGTGTCCGCAGCAGCTGGGACCAGTTTCTGACGCACGGGCACCCAGGTCCCTGTCCTTCCCTCCGGGACGGCTGTCAGCCAGAGCCGCTGACCCCCAGGCCGGGCAGGGCTCCCCGCCCCCCTCGGTCGCCGTTCCTGAGGGAAGCATCGTGCCTCTGGGAGAACCCTGTGCTCCAGATGGGTCAGCAGACGAGGGGACGGGAGGGGAGGGCCACCGCCACCCCCATCAGGAAAAACTGCCTGGGGGCTTCTGGTAGCCGAGAGCAGAGCATTTTCAGGACGGCCCCCTTCCCTTTGAGGACAGGGACGTGTCCACTAGAGACAGGCGGTGTCGGCTCCCCAAGGCCCAGGCGCCAAGCATCCCAGGCCAGAGCCCGGCCGGCCTGCAGGTGGCCGGCGCACGGGCCGCTCCGACTGGAGGACTCTCAGGGCTGCGCTGGTCATCTTGGGGCCACCCATCCAACACACTGCGGCACGTCACCCCCAAGGAATCCATGATGTTTTAATTTGATTTTGTGTTGGACCGTGTTCTTGAAAAGCACCTTCTCACCACACGAGGCTGCTTCTGACACTTTCTCAGGCGGGAACAGCAGCCACTGAGACGGGACCCTGTGGAGAACTAGAAAACCACAAACCAAGAAAACAGCTGTCTTCTGCAAACCACCTGCACACCCACACGTACACGACGCAGCGAAGTAACTCGCGGGGCACTGCCTACCGGGCCGGCGGGGGCGGGGGCGGGGGGGTGTGCGTGGAAGCGTGCGCTGGTGGGCGGCCACGTCCGGCACAATGACCAGACGCACACTCTGCGTTTCTTTGAAAACATTTATTGCGCACAAAATGGCCCATTCCCCTTTGTAGCTCAGTTGTTAATTTAGAACTTTTTCTTTCAGTTCTCTGCCTGTCACTGCTGGTTGACGCAGCTGGAGCGAGCTCCTGGGGCGGAGGCCCGACGCGCCCCGAGCAGGGCACACCCCTGGGCTCCCCGCCACGGCGGCGCGGGTATGGGCACCTGCTGTGCCTGGGCTCACCCAGCCTCAGGCATTTCAGGTAAACGTCAGCCCCGCCCCCCTGGGCTTCGAGGGCACCTACCTCTCAGGAGGAAGACCTGCCTGGAGCTGCATGCGTTTCCAGAGCTGGAACACGTGGGATGCAGCGTGTTGCCAGGGCGTGAAATAAACCGCAAACCAGTGGTTATAAAACGGGAGTTTCAGAGAGGGTCGTGTGGGAGCCGTGTGCGGGGACCTTGCACAGGCCTGTGGGTTTCTACAGCGGCTCAGGGGGGCCCTCAGCCCCCTCCCGGCATGGAAAGCAGCAGTGTGTCCCGGAGGGCGCAGCCCCGCCTGCTCAGGCGCAGTGACGCCTCGCACCCCGCGGCATCAGGGCCTTCAGAGGGCCCACTCGGCGCACAGCCCCCTGCCCGGGGGCAGGCAGGGCACGGCTCTCCTGGGACACAGCCAGGCTCTGAGCCTCTGAGGTGGAGGGTCCGGAAAACCCTGCGCAGGCAATCAGGTTCCTGTCCCAGGTCCACTTGGATGGAAGGCTGGGGACTAAAGATGGAATCCAGAGAACCCTCCTCTCCTCCCCTAAGGAGAGAATAAAACCAGGACGCTGCTGGCCTCCCCCAAGCAGGACGGCAGGCAGACCCGTGGCGGCTGCTGGCAGCGTCCCGGCCGTCCACAGGAGGGCACGGCCACGTGAGGGCGCGCGTCCACGTTGAGGCACAGTGTGGTTCCCCGTGGAAGTCCCAGGTCGGACGGACGCCCCGTCGGCCCTGCCCTCAGCTGGCCTGGACAAGCCGCCAGGCCTAGTCCTTTGAGCGTTGGCCACTCTGCACGGAGTCGGCTGGAGGACCCCCCAGGTTTCCTCAGACAGCAGCTGAGCCGTAAGAAATGCCCCCCTGGGTCCCCACGAAGGCCTGGGAACCGAGGGGTCTGGGCCAGAGAGGCTCACCTGAACCCCAACAGCTGCGACCCCACCTGCTCGCTCCCTCCTGGATCTAAGGCTGGGCTGGGGGGACCCCCATCGGAGGGGCCCGCCCGGCATGGGGCCGCCAGCCTGGAAGAGGGCCTACCCCCAGCTTCCTTCACTAAACGTGTCGTGGGAGGGGAGAAACCCTGGCACCAAACTGGAGAAAAAGGTGGATTCTGCAGAGTGGGGGTTCCCACAGAGGCAGGCGGCCGCACCGGAGCCAGAACGTCACCATGGCAGGCGGTGGTGTCGGCATCGTCTGGCGCCAGAGCGCGTGCAGGGTGCCCATCACCGCCACACCCGGTGCCAGGTGATCAGTGTCTCTAACAAAGATATAAAAAGGAAGTCTTTTTTTTCAAGTATTAAAAAAATAATTGACAGAAAGAGTCAGAAGCGGCTGAGTGTCTTGCTGGATTGTCAGCTTCACCTCGATGTGCAAACGCAGGGAAACACCCGGAGGGCGACTCCCGCCGGAACGCGGCCGCCTGTCCGCCCGCGGGGCTGCGTCGCCTGGAGCCAGGGCTTTCCAGTGTTACAATGGTTGTGACTTAAAAGCAAGATGCAGCAATGCCAGGCCTCCAGCTGCAGCCGGGGCAGGCCTGGGGCGTTTGGCCACGCGGAGTCCAGTGTGTGGTGGGGGCCGGGGGCGGCCCCATGCGGGTCCTCCTCACGCACGTAAGGAACCCGGACACGGGCCCTCGGCGGCCCCGCAGGCCTCAGTTCACAGGCAGCTTCCTGGGCCGCCGCCCTCATTTCTTTGGTGCTGCTCTGGGGACAGGAAGAGGAGGCCCCTCCCCTGTGTGCGGCTCCCCCAGAGGCTGTGGTGTTGGCAGAGGGAGCAGCCGCCTGCTCTCGTCGCCCGAGGCCGTGAGCAAAGGGGCAGCGGTCACTGCATGTCCCGGGGGACGGCGCAGGCCTTTCTCCTTCCCGCGCGGCGCCTCTGCCCCTGTGGCCTGTGCTCCCTGCAGCGGGCAGCCGGGCGAGCGACCGGAAGGAGGCAGAGCCGCCTCGGACAACCCCCTCCACCTGGGGCTCCCACCGCGTAGATGCCTGACGGCACTTGGGAGGCGCGTGGACGCGAGTGCCAGCCAGCGCCCCGGTGGTGCCGGCCTCCTGGGCTCTTGGGCCTGGGTGGCTGGAAGGCCCAGCCGGTCAGTGGCGGCCGCGGGCCGGCCAGCGCGCGCAGTGGGCGCTCAGGACCAGTTCAGGCTGAAGCCCTTGGCCAGCATGGCGGCCTCCAGGTCCCGGTCCTCCTCCTTCTCCTGCAGCCGCTGCTCCTCCAGCAGGGCCACCAGCGCGTCCCTCTGCTCCACCACCTCCAGCATCTCGTTCAGGATCTTCTTCTCCTCCGACAGCTCCTCCTCCGTCTTCAGGTGGTCTGGGAGGCGGCAGAGGCGGCAGAGGCATCAGGCCCGCGGGGCGGGGCCCAGGCCCGGCCCGGCCCTCCCGGGGTGGCTCGCCCGCGGCGCCCTTACCTTCCACAGCCATCCGCTCCCGGAGCTCCTGCTGCAGGCGGCTCTGCCGGTCCTCCAGTTCCAGCTCCCGGGCACTGGGGAGGCAGGCAAGCCAGTGACTCGGGGAGCCCGCCTCGCCCCAGTTAGGACGGAGCGGGGCTCCTGCCGCCACAGGCACTGAGCTCCCCGTCCCCCCGTGGCTGGGGCCCTGGGCGGAGGCCACTCACAAGATCATCAGCTCCGACTCGTAGCGCACCATGGCGTTCTTCTCCTGCACCAGCCGGAACCACTCCTGCATCAGCCGGGGGTCGTCCTTCTTGCCCATGCCTGCGGGGTGGGGGGGCGCGAGTCAGGCGCAGCGGGCGCTACCCGCGGGCCCGCAGCCGGGCGTCACACCGGGGCCAATGTGCAAAGAGAGCAGAGCAAGATGCTGCTGGAACCGCCAAGCCAGGTCCAGTGTGCCTGCCACCCCGGGGGGCCGTGCCCACCCCGGGGCCTAACGGAGCCTGCGCTTCCCGCTGGTCCTGCCCAGGCCCGGCCCTCACCCCTCAGTACCTGGTCACCGCGGGTCAGGACCTCTCCTGCTCAGTGGCTGCCCTCTGGTGCGTGTTAAGTGCTGTGCCCTGCGTTTCCCTTGTTCGTTCATCTGACCCTTATCTGGCCCTCGTGTGCACTAAGCCTACACACTGGCAGGTGTGAGTTCAAGCACCACAGCCGGCCTCCGAGTCCAGCTCCAGGCCTCGGCTCCTCCTGGGCGCCGCCCCCTCTGGCCCGACAGTCCCCGGGGGGTCCTGCATGGGACACGCCGTCCTTGCCCAGTGGGCCGCCGGGTTTCTCACTGAGGGCAGAGCAGTGCCAGCCGACCCCCGGCTAAAGGAGGGATGTGCGGCTCAGACCCACGCCAGCAGCGGCCTGGCCCCGCGCAGCGGGCCCACAGCAGGGGGGCGCGTGAAAACCCCACGGGACCCAACTGCCGAAAGACGGAAAACGCCTTTTCCTCGGAGCACAAAGCAGCCCCCGTGAGGTCCTGCCTGAGGCAAACGACAAACTAGTCACTGGCTTTTCAGTGCCTCCGATCACAAACCGCTTGGGGAATTTCAGGAAAACTAGGAGCTCTCTTTCCAGAAAAAAAAAATGCATCTATAAACATCCAACAACTTCTCACAGAGCTTCAGGGTGTTCGCGGGACCCCGAACCCCATGCACTGGCCCCAGGTGAAGAGGTGTTGGACTAGGGAACCCTTCAAGGTACTGCCCATCTTAGGGGTCACTTGGTTGGTTCTCTCCCAGGAAAGAGCAAACCCAGAGACGCACGGAGAACACCCTCGGGGGGACAATCCTCACGCGCCCAGCTCCTTGCGCGCGGCTCCCCTAGCCCTCACGCCTGACTTCCTCGCGTGCCGATCAAAGCCGCACCCCCCCTGCCGTGCTGTCCACTCGACACACAGGCCCAGGCCGGTTAGAGTCTTTCGAATGGCCTGGCTCTGCAGAAGCAGGAACGGGCCCCTGGGGGCGGGGGCGGGGGGTGTTGGGGTGCGCACGGCGCCCTGGCATGTGCAGCGGTGCCCCCGTGGAGGCCCTGGCCCTGAGCCCTGCCTGGAGTGCTGGCCGAGCCGGCTACTGGGGGGTGCGTGCCGGAGGGTCTGGGCTCCCCCCACCCCAGCAGACTTGGTGCCTTGGCTGGTAAAGCAGCCCACAGCTCAGTTCCGCGCATTCCTTCTGAGCGTCTCTGCACAGGGCGCCCGCGTGCCCGTGGAGGGGCCCCGAGGCATGCAAGCTGTGCCGAGCGGCAAGCCGTGGACGCACCGGGCGGTCTTCCCCCCTTCCCCCGCCCCCAAATTCCACCGGGGGACACCCGAACACCACTCATGAGCTTTGGCACACTGTTTGCAGCCAAAGAGCAAAGGTACGTGGGGAGGCAGGTGAGAGTCCGAGGCGAGCGGCCTGCGAGCGGAGGGAGCAGTTGGCGGAGGTCCGTCGTGACCGCAGCGCCCGCCGCCCCGCGTGCCTTCGCAGGGACAGTCTCAGCACAACAGACTCGAGGCAGACAGACTGAGCACACACACGCACACGGCAAGACAGGGCAGAGAAGTGTGCTTGGCGGTGGTCTGGGAGGGGGGCTCGGGGCGTCTGCGCGGACCAGTCTTCGAAGGACAGTATTCCTCGACTCCACCCGTGCGAACCACGGCCGCGGGGGGCCCTGCCTGCGCACCTGGCCCCTCTCCCTGCTGGGCTGGGGCTGCGGCCCGACCTCGAACGGCGGAGCCACGTACGGGACTCTCTGCTCGGCCCGGAGGCCCCTGGTTCACTCCACACCCCGTCCTCCCCTGAGACAGTCGAAGGGATACTGTGCCTTGTGAGAAACTGCCGCACACTCGTGGAGTTTGTAACAGGGCTCCCGGGAGTGAGAGAGAGACAGACAGAAAGAGAGAGAGAGAGAGAGAGAGAGAGAGAGAGAGACAGCTGGGTGGTGGGACCCTCCTTCAACTAGAGCCGCTACGGCCTGAGGCAGCGGGGACGGGGTTACGTTACCTTCCTGGACACAGCAAGGGCAGAAGGAGAGAGGTCTACGCCGTGGAGTCCCGCCACTGGGCTCAACTTCAAAAAGGACCAAACAAGGAAGAGGAGGAGATGGAGAAAGACACACGGAAGAGGAGGCGGAGTGAGGGAGTGGGGGGGGGGGGGGGACGGGGACAGGGACAGTGGAACGGAAACAAGCAGAGGACAAAAAGCATCGAAGTGAGAAAGGTGCAACAAGAGGAAAAGAAAAAAAAAACACAAGAAATGGAAAAGCAGAAACAAGGGAAACAAAGTCTACAAATGAGTTAAGTCCTTTTCCAGCAAGGGACTGAGCAGGCTCAGCACAGGGCAGCCTGAGGTGGGCGTGGGGCTCAGGGAAGGCGCCTGGTGCCTGCGCCCCTGGGCCGCCCCCCTTCCCGCAGTCCTTGCTGGGATGGGGGCGCCGGGGGTCACCACACCGGGGCCTTCGGGTGCTGGGCGCTGGGTTCCCTCCTCAAACACGCCCCAAGCCCCGGACGGGCCTGCTGCTCAGCCTGCAGGTGTGGCCTCGGCCGGCGCCCCGTGCACTCCGGCACGGCTGAGCAGGACCGGGAGGGGCCCACCGGCGTTGGCAGCTGCCCACGCTGTGACGGCCTGCACCCCCCACCCCGCCAATGCACCGCCCCCCCCCCCGTGCCGGGGAGCGGCACCCCCTTCTCTTCTGTTCTGCCTGCCTGCAGAGGAGCCCAGTGCAGCAGTGGGGGGGCTGCCGCGCTCTGGGCCGCGGGACCGGACACACCAAACCCACGGGGACAAGGCTGACAACCGTGGGCGGGGCACCTCGGGGGCCGAGCGCTGACGGCAACCGGGGGGGAGCCCCGCAGGGACCATCACAGAACCACAGGGACACGCTGGGGACTCCGGGGCGGGCAGGGGAGCGGGCGGCTCTCCTGTGAGGACACAGCACGAGCAGGGAGCCTGTTCCAGCTGCCAGACGGGCAGACGGGCACCTGGCTCGGGGCCGCCGCAGGCCGGGCCCTCCTCCCGCCCGGGCCCGCCCCTGCGCCGCGTCTGGTTTCTGGTGAAACGCGGGGCTGCAGGCAGAGCCGTGGGGGCGAGTGCGTGAGACGCTGGGCACACCCAGCACCCTCAGCAGACGCGACGGCTGCGACCAGGGACCAGCTGGGGTGGGGGTGGGGGATGGGCAGACGCGCTCCTCTCTCAGCACACGCAGAGTGCGGCCGTTTTCCCTTCAGCCGCCTCTGCTACTCCAGGAGCACAGAGCCCACGCTGAGGACGCCTGGACAGACCCCCGGCCTCCCCCGCGCAGGGCACAGGGACAGGGCGCGCCGCCGGGACACCTTCGGCTCGAGCCGATCGCGTCCTCACAGACCCTTCCTCCACAGGAGACACAAGGGCACCACAAAGCCCTCAGAACAGAAATCAGGAAATGAAATCAGAAAAGGGCACTGGGTGAGGCAAGCATTGAAAAAAGGGAAAGTGACCGCTGACCGCGGCCGAGGTGGAGGGGGGCTGCGGGCGGGCGGCCGGCTGCCTGGGGGGCCCATGAGCCTGCACCGAGCAGGGCGGCTTCCCAGCCTTCTCCGCGGGCCCTGCAGGTGCCCGCTGCTTGAACGGTCAGGAAACACAGACGCTGAGGGCGGCTTCAACAAGGACCCGAGGAGCAGCCGACAAGACGCGCCCCATGCGGGGGGTGTGCCGCCTCGGCCTGGGGGGGGGGGCGTCTGATGTGGGTGCCTTCTGAGAGGAGTGGGCCCAGTGTACACATTCAGGGGCAAAGGCGGCGTCGAGCTCACCGCAAACAGAAGTTTAAGAACTTTAAATGCTAAAAGGGGGGCGTTCCTTTGTAATAGCCGCTGCCTCCCCAGCTCAGACCAGCTCCGCACCCTCGTGGCTCTGCAGGGGCCCCAGGGCTCCATCTGGCGGGGGCTCCCCGCCCTCCCTGCCCTGCTGCCGGCTCCCCCGGGCCGTGGCCTCTGCCCTCAGCGGCAGCGCCTCCTCCCGACCTGGGGCCACTAGCCTCGACCTCCGGGGGCAGGTGACAGGGACCTCGCGAGCAGCGGCAGTGAACCGGCACACGGGCAGGCTGGGCCAGACCCGTCTCTGCGCCGCTGACCCTCCCAGGGCGGCCCCGGCCTCTCCCCCGGGACGCAGGCCCTGGGGCTCTCAGCACTGAAATGTGGTGCAGCCCGGCCCACACCCGGTCTCGCTTTCCTGTGCTGAACGGATGGTCTGCCCGAGGGGCCGGCAGCGGCTCTCGGAGGGTCTCTCGGCAGGTGGCACCCGGACGCTGCCGGGCGCAGTCGTACGGAGACCCCGCAGTCTCTGTAGGTGCCCAGGGCGGGCGTGGCCCGCTCGCCACACTCCTGCGCCACCACGCCCCGCCCCGCCTCACTCCAGGCCCTGCCTCTGGGCTGCGGGGGGCGGGGGATGGCAGGTGACCTTCTGGCAACCACCCTCCCCGCACTTGTCCGTTCTGTTTCCATCTTCCTCCGACTTCCTCAGATAGGTTTTGTCTCAGACACTTCATCCCGAAGCCCTGGACCCCCCCACCCCATCAGCTGACAGGAAACCAACCACCAGCCAACACGCAGAACCCGAGCGTGGACATCCACGCCAAACGCACGCAAGCCCAGCCCGGTGCCTGACCCTTTGGCTGTCAGAGCCCCAGAGACTGGGGCGCAGGGAAAGGCCTGGCATGCGTCCCATGAGGAAAGGTGAGGGCGGGCGACAGCGTGGATGGGCCGGCTGCCGGCCAGCATCCAGCCCGGAGTCCGCCTGAGGCCCGCCCCGGCCCCAGGCACAGCCCTGGCCCCCTCACGGCGCACAGTGGCCGACACCGCAGGCTCATGCTGGATGGGCCCTCCGGCAGGTGGCCGGCTGGGTCCCCAAGGTCCCCGCTGCTCCCGGGCAATGCTGGCTGTGGTGGGGATCCGAGGGACCAGCACCACACACCACAAACACCGTGAGGAAAGTGGGCGTTTCACGAGCTGAGCCCCCACTTACAATGGCGTTTCCGTGAGAACACAAACTCCAAATCCTCAGTCTCGGACGCCCCGCACTAGCGTCCTCTTCAGGCGTAGAACCACCCCCTGCCCTGCAGGTGCACCCTGGCCGTTTGCCGCACAAAAGCCTCCCAGGTGCCCCGAGTTCAGGCCGTGCTCCCAGCGGTAGGTCGGAGAAATCCCGCCTGTAGGAAGAGGCTCCTTTTGATTCTGCTTCCTCTGGGCCTCCAGGGTACTCTAGGGGCGCCGCCTCCTCAGGCGCCTTGGAGGCTCTGCCCTCCCACGCAGGAGCCCCGGCCTGGTCCCTGCAGGCAGCCGCGTGGCCTCCCCGCGACTTTTGTTCCTCGTGCTTGTTTTGGGAGGTCCCACCGCTACCCATACTTTGCAGCGAGACGTTGTATCCACTTCGTGCTACAGACAGTACTGGCCTTCGGTTCTTTTGTTCCTGAGATGCACCAGGGACATTCCCTTCCAGGCGCCAGTTCAGTGCACCGGTCCCACGCGCAGGTGCCGCCAGCCCAGGGCCAGGCGCCCTCCGGGGCGCAGGTGCAGGTGCAGGGCCTGGGCTCTCACCGCCTCGCTTTTCCAGGCCGCCTTGGCCCCGCAGCCTGGCAGTGGGGAGACCAGCCACCTCTCCTCTGACTCGGGCTGTGCTGGACTCTCCTTGCTGCTCCCGCCAGGACGCCTCTGGGCTCGGCAGCACCCCTGCACGGCCAAGCGGCCTGTCCCGAGCCAGGGCAGCAGCGGTGGCGGCACGCCGCCCCATGCAGGGTCAGGCTGGCCAGCGCTGGGCGGTGAGGCGGCCCAGCGGACAGGGGTGGGGACACCTCGGGGGACGAAACTGTCTATAGGACGGAGCTCCAGGGAAATGAACAAATTAAAGAGAGGAAAAGAAAAAGAAAACAGCAGCATTCACGACCTGAGATCCAGCACGCCCACTTGTACATAGACACACACGTATGTACACAGGAGAATGCTGAGAAACTGCAGGAATTCTGAAGTTCCTAAGCAAAGACCGAGCCAGGTTAAGGGTCAGGACTGAGAAGACAAGCCAACTCTGCCCACAGCAAACCGAACGAGCAGACAGGACAGGAGACCCAGGGGGTGGGCAGGGGGCCCCGCCCGCGCGCCCCCCATGCCCCCCACCCCCCGGTCACCAGTGGCCGGGAGACCAGGGTGCAGGCCACGCACTCCGTTCACAAACCACTCGCGCTCTTTGAAAATTAGGTGTGGGGTGGGGCCAATGGTTTACAGCTTTGCGTGGGAAATAACAGAATTAATACTAATAAAAGAATAAGCTGTTTCTGGTGCCCACATCTGTGAACCTACAGAGCCGGCCCAGGACAGGCTCCCTGCGCAGGCTCCCGGGGACGGGGCGCAGGAACAGAGAAGGGATCGGGGTCTGCGTTCCAGGCCTTCCCCAGACGCGGTGACTGCCAGGCGCACCGAGGACGGAACGCTGGCAGGGTCTGAAAGGGGCCTCCTCTGGGCCCTGCTCCACCGGGGCCGCTGGGAGCAGGGCTCTCTGCTGGGGACCCCTGATGTCCATGGGCAGGGGCTTCCCTCCTGCTTCTGTGGGGCCATCGGAACCTGCGGGACAAGTCCGACTGTCACGTGGAAGCGGCAGGCGCCGGAGGCGGAGCAACGCGTGGGTGGGAGTCAGGGAGCAGGACCGCCAGGCATTCCCCCGTCCAGAGGACACGCTGAGCTTTTTTCTGCAAGATCTATTTCATTTCCCCCAGCAATGTGTTGCGATTCTAAATCTGAAAGGCTCGCAGCTGGAGTTCAGGGACCCAGAAACGAAAACAGCCAGCAACCTCTGTTACGCAGGCAATGGGGACAGAGAAACTAAAACACACGCAGGAGGCAATCAGTGAACTGGGAGAGAGAGGTGAGCGTTACCTTAAAGAAACGGGTTTTCGCCCTGGCTGGCGTGAGAATAAAAAAGGGTCACCAGTTCGATGCCCAGGCGGGACGCGGGCCTGGAGGGAGGGCCGGGCGCCCAGCAGGGGGCGCACAAGAGGCAGCCACACGCGGATGGTTCTCCCCCCCTTTCCCTCCCTGGCTGTCTCTAAAATTAAATGAAACCTTTAAAAAGAAATCGGTTTCCACAGTCCCATCCAGGAGATTTTACATTAAAAAAAAGAGAAAAAGAACCACATTTTCACACATTGAGGTTGACTTAGAAACGACACGAACGTCCCCCGAGACTGTTAGGAGGAGGCAGGAGAGGACATTAGACAAGAAATGGGGTCTGTTAATCAGAACAGAAGCATCAGCCCTTTCACAGCATCGATGGCCACGAGCGTGCAAGTGGTCCTGGGCCACCCACGGGCCACGGGGGCAGGGGGCAGGGGGCAGGGCCCCTCAGCCCAGCAGCGGAGCAGGAGCCAGCTGGCTCCCCACAGGAACCGCAGAGCCGGCCTTGGGGCTTTGGGCGGCTGAGACAATGGGGAAAAATGAGCACGGCTTCCGCAGCTGCTGCGTCTCAAGGCCACGTGCGGGCAAGGAGCCTGCGGGGGATGGGGATGAGCAGGCCAGGCCCCGACCCCGGCGCGGGGACCCGGCCTGGGGAGACGAGGCGCGTGGGCCGGACGCCCCTCTCCCAGTGCAAGTGACGCCCTGGGCCGGGATGTCCTCCCTGGCGGCGACTCTCCTGCTTCCGAGGGCCTGTGCGCCGCCTGGGTTTCTGAGGTTTCTGGCTTGGGGGCCTGGGCTGCAGATCGGCCACCTGTGTCTAACAGCCGCCCAGGCCCCCATGCTGGGGGGTTGGCCACGAAGTCGACCCCGGACACAGCGCCGAGGGAGGGGCATTGTGACAGGCACCTGTCACCACGGCCCCCGGTCAGTTGGGCTGGTGCCCCGGGACACCGGGGGGAAGGTGGGCCTCGCGGTGGGTGCCGGCTGCCGGCTGTGCGGGCGCAGTCAGTCACATTGGAGGCAGGGGCGAGGCGGGGCGCATTGGGTGTCAAACCACCGAAATGGCATCATAAGGACCAGGGTGCAGATGCGAAGTTGGTGGGACAGGCAGCCTTTGATCGTAAGCAGCCCCGGGCAGCAGAGCCGCCGCCACTGTGCCGAGCTGGAAAAGAGCCGGTATTTTGCCATTCGGTTGCCGGGCTGATTGCTTCTTGCCCTTTGTGAGCAGGGGCGGGGGGGGGGGGCGGTCAGCAGGGTTAGTGCCAGCGACAGGGGCTGCCATACATACCGCCCAGGTGCAAGTCGACGAGGCCACTGCAATGGGACTCTCCCCAAAAGTCTACAACAGGAACCGATGCAGACAGTTACCGGACCCGGCAGCCCGCCCACCCCCACCCCCCGCACTCCAGGACAGGGACGCAGCCGGACGGGGAGGGCAACGGCCGGGAGGCGAGCGCCTCCCGCGCACGGACAGGCTTCCTGCTGGGGGGCCGTGCTCACTAACCCACAGGTGACAGAGCCGTTAGCAACTCCAGTGACCGGTGAGGACGAAAGGCCTTGGCTCTGTGGGGAGCCCCGGCCCTGCTGGGACCTGACTTCACCTAAGGAGGCTCACAACGTCCCAGGGCAGCTCAGGGGCGGCGCCTTCCCCAGTTACCGGGCTGCTGACGCCCTGCCCTGAGGGCTGGACACAGGACGGAAACACCCTGGAAACACCTCGCAAGGCCTCCGGCCCTCAACCGTGAAGGCGGCCAGAGAGCTCCGAGGACCCGCACACGGTCCCCCTGTGAACGCGTCCCTGCAGAGCCCCTTCTGCTGGGGGGTTGCGATGAAGGCGATGCCGCTCCTCTGAGGTCGGACCCCCAGCTTCGGGGGCCCCCTCCCCGCAGCAAGCAGGGCACGGGCGGCGACTGTTGGTCCGACGGTGCTCGGAGCCCGCCGGCCACCAGACTCCCAGCTTCCAGCTCTGTCCGGCTGTCCCGGAGCAGGCCATGAGCTTCGCACGCCTGAGACGCAGAGACGGGCCCAGGGTCGCAGGCAGCGTGTGCACACCCAGAGCCCTGGACGCAGAGCCTGGCCAACGCCGGCCGTTCTCCCTCTTGGGGCCCCACGCCTCGCGGCCTGCGTGTCGCCCCGGCTGCCCTCTGCTCCCTGCCAGGGCTGCCCGTTGAGAATGGACACACCGGAGAGGAGGATGCAGACCTGGGCGGTCTTCCCACGCAGCTCAAGGCTGGCCCCGCGCTCACGTCCGTCTCGGGCCTGCCCTCGGCTGAGGGCTCCGGTGTTCACACGCTTCGGGCGAGGCCAGACCACCGATGGCAGGCGGCCCGCCCCAGGTCCCTTCCCTGGCTAACTGGGCCATCGCCCCCTCAGCGACGGAAGCTCAGCCCGCCAGGGGAGACCGAACAGCAGGCCGGGCCGGCGAGCATCTCTGGAGACTGACTGCCGTCCCAGCCTGGCCGGGCGCAGCCGGGCTCCTGAGCGGAGGGTGACGGCGGAGCAGCCAGCGCGCACGAGTCGGCCTCTGCCCAGCGGGGATGGGGCCGCGGGCTTCTGACAACACTGGGGCTGTGAGAGCGATGCACTTAAATAAGCAAAGGAAAACCCTGTATTTGGCAGTGTATTCTTACGGTAAGAGCTCCTGTAGTCTGAGGGTTTCCCATCCTGGGGAAAGCTCCCACTGGAGCCACCGCAGCCTGTGTTGACGGACAGCGCAGGTGTGCCCGCATCTGGGCTGGGACAGCGGCGTCCAAACTGCTCTGAGGCATCCCGGGGCTCTTCAAGCGCGGCTCCAGGGCCCCCCAAACACCTGCTTCCCCAACACTCTCGGCTCACTCAGAAACTCAAATCGGACACGCCAGCTTCCAACGGCTGACACGCCGACTCCGCACCCACTGAGGACCACCACCGCCTCATTCGTGGGCCGGGGACCCGGGTTTCTTCTGCCTCTTTGGCGAGTGTCTTCACTCCCTGCGAACAGGCTTGGAAAGACGACACTTGCTCCTTCATCCGCGCCCGTCACGCGAGGTCCTCTGGGCAGGTGGCTGGCACGTCAGAGCCTCCAGCACAGCTGGGCACATCGTCGCTGTCCGTCCGGGGGCCTGTGCCCGAGTCTCCTCTTTGGGAGGCGTATGAGCTGCTGCTGGACTCGCCGGTGATTTAACCGCGGCAGCCAGGCCTGCCGCCGCCCCCCCAGCCCCATGTGCGCCCCGAGCTCCCCGTGCGCTGCCAGAATGGCCGCCAGTCATGGCCGCCACGCGTGCGCGCGTGCTGCTCGCGTGGGGAGCCCTCCACCAAAACCTGTATTTTCCAATTTGTGTTTCTTCATGCTCTAGAGTAATTCTGAGTTAAACTCATAATTTGGTTTATAAAAAGGGTCCTGCTCCTAAAAAAACAAGGGTGAAAACCACCGACTTAGAGCAAAGCCCAGCTGCGTATGTTTACGAATAGGCACTTATCTCAAGGGCTAGAAAGGGAACTTCGGGAAAAGCCTATGCCTGTCTTCAGCAGCGTGTTCTCCTCCGGCCCCTCGGCCCGAAGCACCTTGTTGACTCCGTGTGCACCCGTGCCTGGGGCGGGGCGGCCGGCCAGTGTGAGCCGGGGGCAGGGCGTGGTGAGACCGACCCTTCCCCCCAGCCCGGGCAGAGGTGACTTGCTGCGAGGGGGCGGGAGGCAGGGCGGGCCAGGCTCCCTCCTGCGCCTCCTGGCAGGAGAGGGAGCTGCGAGGGCAGCGCCGCAAGGCGCCTGCACCAGGCACAGGGCCTCTCTGGTGGGTCTGGGCCAACTCCCCCAGGGGCTTCACAAGGAGGCCCAGTCAGTGCAGGACGGGGAGCAAGGGCCGGACGGCAGAGACGCCCCCGGCCGCACCGGGGCACCGGGACCAGCTGGCCAGCAGCCACACGATGAGGCTCCCGACCGTTGGCTCCGCGGTGGCTCAGGGTTTTGTGTTCCCTTCGGTGCCTGAGGCCGGAGTCCGCCCTTGTCTCTCTCCCACCCCCCCTTCGCCTGAAGGCCAGCACCAGGCTGACAGTGTGACGTCCTGGCCTTGGAGGCCTGGAGGAACGGCCACCTTCCACGTCCGAGCCCGCCTCCCCAGCGAACGCCCGCCCGGTGAACGTGTGGGGCTCCCTCAGCGCCGCTCCCCACAGTCCCCGCCCCCTGCTGGGGTGGCCGGGTCATGCGGCTTCTGTGCGCTGTGCCAGGAGGCGGAGGCCCTGCAGGGTGCGCTCGGAGCGGCCAGGGCGGCAGAGGGACCAAAGGGCAAAGGACAGTGGGCGGGCCCTGCCCAAGCAGTTCTGTGATGGTCCCGGGAGGCGCAGGCCCCCTTTCCCGTGTCTTCCAGAGGAAGCAACCAGGTGGGAGGGCGGGCGGGCCCCGCACTTGCCTCCGACAGAGGAAATGGACCAGGGGTTCTTCCCGCAGGCCAAGGGCCAGCCCGCAGACAGGGCAGGGGCGGGGTGGACCTGAGGCCATCCCTGGAGCCGTCCCCAAGCGAAGGGGCCCAGGGGCGCCTGCCAGACAGAAAGCTGAGGTGACATGGAGCCAGCCCCACGTGGGGGTAGGCGGGCCCGCCCTCGGACCGGTGTCCCCGGCGCCGCGCTGACAGTACCTGCTTCCCCACGGAGCGCCTTCTCCACCGCGACCCCTCTCTCCTCCAGGTGTCGCTGCCTCTCCTCCACCTGCTCCAGCTGCCGCTGGATGATCTGTGGAGACAGAATGGCAGGAGCACCCATCTCCCTTCACCTCGCCGCCACCGCATGGGCCCAGGGGCACAAGGCGCGTGCTCCTGTGCCTGAGGGACATGCGGGAGCCCCAGCTGCTGGTTCCCGGCCTGGGCGCCAGCCCCACGGGATGTGGGTTCAACTCCTGCAGGAAGGACTCGGCGCCTTGGCCTGGGACCTTTCTGACGGTGACCTCTGTCAGGACACAGACGGCTCTGGGAGAGGGCAGTGGCCGGGCCCTGCGCGGGGGGGTGGGGGGTGGGTGGGTGGCGGCCAGCGGTGCCTGGCACAGAGCAGGTGCGCATGGAGGACGTGCGGGGAGAGGGCCGAGGAGACGCGGGCCCCAGGGCGCCGGTGTCTGTGCCTGCTGCTCAGGGGTCCGCTGCGGTGCGCCTCAGGCGGCGGCACCTCCTGCGTGCGGCTGCGTGCCTGTGGCTCCCTTTAAAAGCCACGCTGCACTTAGGCACCTTCTACTACTTCGTGTACAGAAATTGTTTACATCTCCCTGCCCCCGACTGAGGTGGCCTGGGCTCGGGGTCTGGGGTCTGGGAGGCCGCCGACAGGGAGCAAATCCCAGGTCCCTCAGAGGCCAACAGATCACAGAGCCCCTCCAGCGCCATCTGTGCCATGAACGAGCCGGCGGAACAGTGACTGCCCCACAGCAGGGCACCCGGAGCACCGTCCGACGCGCCCCATCCACCAGGTCCCCCCGGGGTGGAGGCTCCGAGTGCGGCCACAGTGAGCCAGGAGCTGCGGCCTGGGGCCTCAGAGCTGCCCCTCAGGTACCGGTCGCCCGTCTGCCCCTGCCCTGCCCCCCTCAGCCTCCCTCCCCCGCCCCCGGGGCCAGGGCCTGCTGGCTGGAGGGGTGCTGCCATGCGACGCCCCCGCGAGCTGGGCCCCGTGCTACCTGGGCTCGGTGCAGCCGCTTCAGCTCCTCCTGCTTGGCCTGCCTCCGGGCCGCCCTCTGCACGCGCCGCGTCAGCTTGGCGCTCAGCTCCTGCTCTGTGTACGTCCTCGGCTGCGGAGGAGACGTTTCCCGGTCAGGCGCCCACGGGCCCGAGCGGGTGGCTCTGGTCGGCAGGGGCGTGGGGAGCTCCGTCCGGCCGCAGGGCCCACGGGCAGCGTGCGGAGGACCCCAGGCTGCAGCCCGAAATGCCAGGGGGCGGCACTTCCCGCGGTGACAGGGACAGGAGGCTGAGGGGACGGGCAGGGACGGCGCAACAAAGGGTCCCCCCGTTTCCCAAGCAAGGCTGCCTGCTCTTTCTAAGGCTCTTCCAGGGGAAAAACACTGGTGAGATGTCCCCACGCCCCCCGCCCGCAGGAGACGCAGAGGGAAAGGAAAGTCATGGTCCCTCCATTTTCTGGTTTGGTAGCAACAGTCACTTTCTTCAGATGAACAGCATCTATAAGGTTTTTTAAAGAAGTGACATTTTAAGTAGAGAAAACAGCGACGCCTCCACTTTAAGTCTGAGTGAACCCCGAACTAACAGTCTGAGAAGGCCACCGCAGAGGTGGCCTGTGCAGACGGACCCTGGGGTCTGCCCAGGTGCAGCCGCTGCCGTGCGGAACCAAGCCAGCACCCACCAAACCCAGGCAGTTCCCCCGGGAGCTGCCGGGCCACGTCCCAGGCACAGGTGGGCCGTCGGGGCCGGAGGCAGCCCAGGTGCCGTGAAGGGGCACCCAGCGACCCCTGAGTGGCAGCCGCTGGGGGGCTCGCCTCCACCCACAACGCCTTCCTCACGCCGCCCAGAAAACAGAGGTGGCGGCTTTTGTTGCCTCGGCAGCCGGTCCAATCACCTCTGTGCTCAGAGCTCGGGGGCGGCAGGGGCCGAGGGGCGTGAACCCCGTTCCGGCAGCTGGCAGCCCGGTCTCCCCCCCGACGCCACCTCGTGCTCTGGAGCCTGCGCGCAGGGCGTGCCCGGCTCCTCCGCCCGACCCAGCGGCCCCGCGCGCCGGCGCTGTGCACACGGGCAGTGAGGGAGCTGTGGCAGGCCGGGCGCTGGGGTCAGTCACGGACCTGCATGCGACGGTGACTGGCCGAGGGGCACGGGGCTGCCTTCGGTGCACGCGGTCCCCCGGGCGCCAAGGCGTGTGACACGTAAAACGACTTTTAAAGGGAAGGCGGCGGAAAACAAAACAATGGTAATGACAATAATTAAAAACAGAACACAGAAATGGAGCAAAATCAGAAGTTTAACACACGCGCTCAAACACATGCTTATTTTCCAGAACGTCGTGCAGGGCGGGTGGGGGCGCAGACCCTCCGGCCGCGCCTCTGGGAGCCGCCCCCGGACTCGGCCGGACCCCTGCTCCCGGGGAGGGCGGCTGCTTCCTCACACCCCACACCGTCTCGTGTTCCTCCTCAGCCTCCCTCACGCGTCAAGTTAAAACTGCTAAGTGGGTGGCTCCAGGTGCCACTGCTCCGTCAGCGGCCTGTCAGCGGCCCGTCTGCCCGTGCCCGTTCAGACGGCTCCTGCCCGCTGACACGTCACGGGCGCTGGGACAGGGCTGGGGGGCAGGGGCCCCGTCGCCAGAGTCGGAGACACGGAGCAGCTGAGCATCGGCCCCGGCCCCTTCTGAAGGTCCTGCCTGGGGGCCCACCGTGGCCAGCAACCCTGGGGTTGGCGGGGGCGTTTCTTCATGGTACGGTGAACGGACCCAACATGGCAGGGTGGCTGGTATTTATCGGACACTTGTTGGCGGGGACCGTAACCCCTCGACCCAGGAAGACCTGCGCAGGGCTGCTCAGAGCGGAGCGAGTCACAGGGGCCGCTGGGCCCGCCCCCGCCCACCCATGGGCTGCAGGCCTGGAGACCGGCGGCCGTGGACGCGGCGCGTCTCCGTGGCCCCCGATGCTTCCCCCGGGAACGCCCGGCATGGGGCCTGCCTTTCTGGAGCATATCAGCCCAAGAAGAAGGCGGCGCCTTCTGGTGGTGAGCAGGGGACCCCGCCTCTCAGCCGAGCCCCGTGTCCCCCAAGTCTGAGAGGAAGAACTTTGCAGTTAGAACAAACTAGTCAAAGGAAGAGGCAGTGGGGTTTCCCCAGGCGGCCCCAGGAACCCCCGCGGAACCCGCAACCGCAGCCCGAGGAGCAGTGCGTGACACGCGCACTGCGCGGCAGTGGGTGCACCCGGGGCCTCAAATGCCGGCGCGCACGTCTGGGGGGCGGGGGGGGGGGGCACCGCGGCGGCGGCGGCAAGAAGCCACTTGGGTAGCCTTCAAGCCAGACTGAGGCGAAGAAAAAAGAAGGAATCGTGAGTTTTCTCCTGTTGGTCAGGCTACGAGGTGATTTTTTTAAAAATGTGTATTACCCTAATTGCTCTATATAAGTATTTTATGTAAAAATAAATTTTTTTGGTGTTTCTAGCTCAGGCACTAGTTTTGTAGCTGCCTCCTCAGAGTGGGCCCGCGACCTGGAGACGCGGCCTCCCCACCGGCACCCACGCGCCCCTCGCGCGCCTGCCCCGAGGGCCTGCAGGAGGCAGAGCAGCCGGCGGAGGGGGCGCCGCCGCCTTCGCCCCGACAGGCTGGCTGCCTTTGCGCACGTGCAGGCCCTCGACCTCAGCATCTCATCTTCCTTCCTGAAACTTCCGTGGGCGCCACGGTCCTTCACCCCTGAAGGTGTCAGCAGCGAGCCTTTGCTACCAACAGCCGCCGTCCTGTGTGGCGACGGGGCTTTGGGGACCGTAGCGCTGACGGCCCCCCATTGCTGCCTGCGCGCACCGCCCACGACCGGACATCCTGAAGCTGCCCGTGTCGGCGGCCGCGTCTGGTCTGGGTTGTCCCCCGGCATCGGCGTAACAGCCGACGTCCAGCTTCATTCAGGACCCGCTGCGGGTGCCTAGGGTTGCGGTCAGACGCTCACGCCCTTTACAGAGCGTCGCCCGCTGCTCCCAGGGCCCGCCGGGCGCCGCGCCGTTATCAGCGCCATCGGCTGCGTCCCCGGGGCTGCGCCTGACCTCCCGTGCCGGCCGACCTGTCCTGCCCAGTCCCTCCGCCTTTAGCTTCTCCACTTAAAACCACACTTGCCCGCTCCCGCTCGGCCCGCCCTGCACCTCAGTGGGCGGCAGGGCGTTCGCTCCCTGCAGGGCCGCCCCATGGGGGCGTGTGTGACCGGGTGCGGGGGTTCCAGGAGCGGGCCCCCGGCCTGCTGCGGGCCGGGTCGGGCAGCGTGTGTGCCCTGCACACCCCGGGGACGGGCTGTGCTCAGTGGGCCACGGCCGGGGCAGAGCCGGCCCGGGCAGCCGGTGCTCTGCGCGGTGCCCACCGACGGCTCAGTAGTCATGGGAACGGGGGAGACCCGGCCCCAGAGGCCACCCCGGGTGCGGTTTGGGACTGACTGGTCTGCACTGACCACGTGCTGCAGGGTGCCTACGGGTGGCACACAGGAGTTCTGCCGTCACCCGCGGGGCCTGGCACCTCGGTGTCCTTCTTGGGGAATGGACAGACCTGGCGCTGGCAGCCCCCAGGGGATGAACGTGTCAAGGACAAGGCGACGGCCAGAAGGCTCGCCTCCTCCAGTTCCCAGTCGTTAGAAAGCCAACGGGGCCAGGCCGGGGGTGGGGGACGCTGACCTGCCGTGGCTGCAGGGCCAGGCCAGACCCAGGAAGCCGTGCCGAGGCGCTGCAGGGCGCTCCGGGGAAGGCCCTCACTCAGAACGGGAGCGGGGGGCGCGCACCTCCCCTTGGGGGAGTGTGGCCTCGCGGGGCAGAAAAAGGAACAGAGGGACAGCGCGGGGCCAGCCGCTTCCTAGGGACAGACGGAGCGTTCGGGCCTGAGCGTCTCTCTCCAGAGCTGAACCCAGACTCCTGCCACAGACGCAGCGGCGCCTGCGGCCTGCACCTCGGGCGAGGCTCGCCACCCCTGCCCCTCCTGCCTCATCGCAGACCAGCTCTGCACGGAGGGCAGCAGCCCGTCCCCAGCCCACGCAAGCCCCCCCTGGCCGCCCGCCGGCCGCTGTACCTCTCGCTTCGACCTCTGGGAGGTGCTCTCGAGGACGTCGTCGCTGGACAGGTCCGAGTCCTCGGAGAAGCTCAGCGGGCGCCGGAGCTGCAGCTCTGAGGGAGGGACGGGCCGGGTGAGGGCAGCGCGGGTGGCCTGGCTGGGGGTCGGTTCGAGTCTAGCTCCCGCAGCTCCCCGCACGACGGGAGCCACGGCCTGCGGCTCTGTCTGCAGGCAGCGCTGCCCGCCCCCCCCGCCAGCTTCCGTCCCTCCTCCCTCCCCGGTCAGCACGGCTCCAAGGCCCCGGAGGCGGGCACAGGGGGACAGGCCCCCAGAGAAGAACGAGCCGAGCCCTGCCCCAGGGGCCCTGGTGCCCACGCACCTGCTTTTCGTCTGGGCGACGCCCGGTGCTTCCCCGAGTCCACGGTGGCCCCACTGGAGGGGGTGCTGGGGCAGGACTTGTCGTCGCCCTTCTTCTTCTTGTCCTTCTTGTCCTTCTTGTACCCGGAGAAGACCGACTTCCACAAGGACCTGGGCTTGGCGGCCACTTCCTCCAGGAGGTCCGAGCTGGGCTTCTCGGGGGGCCGCCCCTCCCCCCGGGCTCCCCTCTCCTTGGCTCTGCGGGGGGAGAAGAGCGACGCTCTCTTCTTGCTCTTCCCGCTGGAGCCCTCGGAGGAGGTGAGCGAGCCGTCGGGGGCCCCCGAGTCTGACGTGGGCGACAGGACCTCCTCGCGGGTGGCCTTGGGCTTCGTGGCGGGCTCCTCGGGGCCGCGGCGGGGTGTGGTGCCACAGGCCCTGCCTCTGGAGGGCCCCAAGGGGGGCCCGGAGGCCCTGGCGCCCGCCTCCGCCTCCTTCATGCGGCGCAGCTGTGTGGCCATGGCGTCCCTCAGCGCCCGGCTCTTCACGGACCTCTCCCGGGCCCGCATCCGCTCCTCGGCCCGCTCCTTGGCTTCCGGGGAGACCGCGGGCAGCCCCCTCTTCTGCAGGTGGACCCCACGCTCCAGACCAGGCAACCTACCATTCTCCTTGGCCGAGGGCGGCCGGAGGGGCTTCCCGGAGGGGGGCGGGCCGGAGGGGGGCGTGAAGAACTTCTCCTGCAGACTCGAGGCCTCGGTCCTGTCCTCGAACGTGTCCTCCACCTCATCGGCGAAGGGGATGTCGTCCACGCTCTCCACGAAGGATTTCCGCACCTCCTCCCGCGGGGGCTGCGCCGGCTCCCGGGGGGGCCGCAGGACCGCAGCCGGTGGAGGCGGTGGGGTCCCTGAGGACTCAGTCCCCGACTCCGGGCGCCCACGCACGGGGTGCGGCCTCCTGCGCAGGGTGGCGGGCTCCTCGCCCTGCGGCGGGGGCGGGGGCGGGCTGGAGGGCGGCGTGAGCATCGTGGAGTCCGAGGTGTTGAAGCTCTGGCTGCCCAAGGTCTTCGTGGTGGCGGAGCTCCCCTGCAGGCCCAGGCCCGAGCTGCTAGACAGGTCCCTGCGCTCCTCGTGGGAGCTCCTCGGTTCCCGGTCAGACGGGGACTTGGGGGTCGGCAGGGAGGGCTGGTCGCCGTCCGACTTCGGGAGGCCCAGTCTCTTGGGAACAGGCGGAACTCTCAGGAGAGGGAGGCCCTCGCCCTGGGGGGACTTCTCCACCGAGTAGGACTTCAGGGAAACCGGCTTCAGGATAGGCGAGGGGAAGCCGAGCTCGGGCCGCGTGCTCCGATCGACGGGCGTGAGCCCCAGGCTGCGGCGGATCTCCGCGCTCTTCGTCCAGAACTCGGCCACCAGGTCGCTGCGCCGCACGGCCTCGTCCGCGGCCAGGGGGCCGCCCAGGCTGTCCCGGGACTCCCCTCGGGTCTCCACAGGAACGGGGACCAGCGGCGTGGACGTCTTGGCTGGACCGGGCTGGAAGCAAATGGGGGATTTGGTGGGGGACGGCACAGCGGCCTCGCAGGAAGGCTGCGGCTGGGAGCAGATGGGCAGCTGCGTGGGGGTGAGGGCCGCCAGCGCGGCGGGAGGCGGCAGGGCTGCCGGCGGGGCCTGGACGGGAGAGGGCACGGCGTTCTGGTCAGCGGCAACTTCCGCCCCGGGGACCGAGCACTCCGGGAAACGGCGCTCCTCGGGCGATTTCGGCTTGGCCCCCTCAGACAGGAGTGGGATCCGGGCCCCCTACAGAAAACGAGGACAGACGGATGGACGCTGCTTAGAGGGCTGGGCTGATGGCCTGCAGGGAGCCCTCGGGGAGCCTTCTCTCTCCGAGGCCTGCGCTTGCCCAGGCGACCCTCCCTCCAGCTTCCCGCTGCCACTCAGGCGGTGCCAGGGAGCCGTGCGCACGCTCTGCAGCATTCGGACCCGCTCGGCTGTCAAAGAGACGCGGGGCTCGGGGCCCGGCCCCCCCTCCCGCCGCTTCCCTCCTGCGTCCTCTGGGCGCTGGCCGAGCGCAGGCCAGAGGGCACAGACGCCACCCGCTCTCCCTCCCCAGCCACCGGCCTCCCCGATGGACAGACGGACACAGCCCAACGTGGCGGGTGGACCAGAGCTGCCTGTGTTGCAGCCAGGGCGCTCAGGGGTCCCGGGAGCCCTGCGCAAACGCCCCCGCGGCCGCCCTGCCCCGTCTCGGGCAGCTCCCCACCCCCCAGGCACAGCCGCCGCCTGCACGCGACTCGTGGGCTCCTGCAGGCCCGGACTGGGGCTCGGACCCCCGCCCTGCTCTTCGCTTCCAAAGGTGTTTCCCAAAACCTGCTCCATGGGCGTGTGGCTGCGATGTGTTTTACATAGCATTCCCCAACGTGTGGCTCTCACACCACTGGAAATCTAGAAAAATACTTTAAATTTTAAAATTCACAGTTCTTCCCTGGCTGGTGGGGCTCAGCGGATTGAGCACCAGCCTGTGAATTGAAAGGTTAGATTCCCAGTCAGGGCACCTGCCTGGGTTACGGGCCAGGTCCCCACTTGGGGAAGTTTGAGAGGCAACCTATCAATGTCTCCCTCACATGTTGATGTTCCTCTTCCTCTCTTTCTCTAAGAAAGTAAATAAATGAAATCTTTAAAATTCACAGTTCATTTTAACCAATCAAGGAGACGTGCACCTGTCGCGTTGAACCAATGATTCCACAAACGTGGTGGCTCTGACTTCCAACACGCCCGCTCAGCCCCAGCTCTTACCTCGGCCGTGGGGCTGGGGACGCGGGGGAACAGAGCAGCTCCTGCCAAAGGGGACCGGATGGGGCTGGAGACTTGGGAGGGGCCTGCGAAGCAGAGAGAGAGAGAGAAAGAGGACTGGCAGGAGGAGACCCGGCTCCCGGGCACGGTGCCTCCCCAGCCAGCTCTGCGGTGGGGTCCGGGGCCCCCAGCCACCCGCAGACATGGGGCAAAGAGTAAAGGGACCTGCTTCCCCAGGCGCCCTGCGTGCACACTCGGGGTCAGAAGCGCTGGCTTTTTGCCGCGTGGGTGGTCTGTGCCCAAAGGTACGTGCCGCTCCTCCTCCCCTCTCGGCCCCAGGTAACACCAGGAAGGGGCTGGTGCTGAGGCTGGGCACAGGGCCCACACACGGGGCCGGGGGCTTCTCCTGGGACGGCAGACTGACCTCTGCTGGGAGGCTGTGCAGAGGCAGGGGGCTGCGCTGCCTCCTCTCCTGAGACCCTCGGCTCCGACTCCGCTGCTGCCTGTGCCTCGGCCTCGGCCTCCCAGGGGACCTCGTCGGACCAGTGCTGATCTGCAGAGGCCCGGGGCGCAGCTCAGCCGGGCCCTGCTCCTCGCGGGCCCCAGCCCTCGGGGGAAGCAGCCGGGCCTCTGTGCCCCGTGGAGCCCGCCCGCTGGTCCTTGCCCAGGGGCCGATGCTGGGCCCCACGCGCTTCCCTGGCAACACGGCGCCCTCTGCGAAGCACTGGGCTCCACCCTGTTCGCGATGCAGCGGGGGAGCTGGAGCCTGGCAGAGCCCCCCCCCAAGCAGAGCTCCCTCTCGGTCTTGCCTTGGAGGACCACCTCTCGTGAGCCCCCCGCCCGGCCCCTGCCCCAGTTTCCTGCTGGCCAGGGTGCACCTCTAAGCCACCGCCTGCCCGTCTCCCGCGTTCGGACGGCCCCTGTGGCCCGCAGGCTCCGGGTGAGGCCCCCGCTCGCCCCCTTTCTCAGCCAGGATGGGACGGGCGCAGGCGGCGCGGCACAGTGGCCGGCAGGTGGGCAAGGACACGCCTTCCCGTCGGGGCCGAACAGGGAGCAAACCGCGGTCGAGCGGCCGCTGCCCCCAAGCCCCCCGCTTCTGCCTGCCAGGCCCGTGTTGCTCGTCCCTGAGCCCGGAGCGCTGTGGCCGTCCCGCTGCGGGGATGAGGCGGCTGCGCCACGGAGCGGGTGGGGCGGGGGCCGCGTACCGTCATCCAGCTCCGCGCCAGTGTCCCCCGTGTCCCCGTTCTCGACGGCCTCCCCCTCTCTCTCCGCCGGCTCGGAGTCCACGTCCTCCAGGTCGGGCTCATCCAACGGGCCTGCGGAGCGGACACGTCAAGGGAGGGAGACAACGAGGATGGACAGGCGGCCCTGCGGGGGCCCTTCCTGACGCCCGTGGCTCCTCCTCGGGGGGCCTCGTGGGCGGGGACATGCGGCTCAGCCAGGTAACCTCCTTCCTCCTGACGGAGGGCAGCGGCGCCCGCTGCCAAGTCAACGGTGCTCAGGGCTCGCCCGCCCGGCCCTGTGTGGCTGTGCCCCACGCCACGGCGCACCTAATGCAGCGCAAGGGGCCGGTTCCGACTCCTGGCCGTGAAAATGCCGGCCGTGGCCGCACGGCCCGGCGCGGCGGCTGTCGTGTTCTGTGCCGGCAACGTTGCTGTGGGAGGGGTGACCACGACCCCCACGGGTGGGCGGAGGTGGCAGCTCCGCATGGGGCGACTGAGAGAAATGCTTTTCGAAGGCAGTGCCGGGCGGGGAGAGGGGACGCCTGAGGTCCCCTTGCTGGGCCCAGGCCTAGCCCTTCGCTGCAGAGGGAGGCAAGGCACCAGCGCCCTTCGCTTCTCCTGAGGAGGGGCCGCCCCGAAGCCACTCACGTGCTTGCAGCTGCCCCCAACCTCTGCCCGCCCAGCACCCGCACCGAGGGCGCGAAGTAAGGCTGCGGCTCGGCAGCCGCTGGAGACGCCAGCGCCACCGTTTGTCCGGGCCTAGAGCCCCTTCTTGGGCTCGGGGCACGGCCACCCACCCCCAGTCGCTCCTGGAGGCTGCCTGCCACCCCGGGGAAGGGCCTGGGCCCCGGGGCCTGGGCCGCCGTCTCCTCACGGGCGGCCCCGCAGCCGGAGGGCGAGCGCAGAGCCTGCGGCAGGACCCCTGGGAGCGGCCGCCGTGTCCAGTGGACACGAAGGCAGTGCCCGCTTCCCGGGGAGGCGGGGAGGCGCTCGGGAGGCGCCGGCCCCGACCCCTGGCTGTGCCGGGAGTGTCCGCCGTTAGCGGCCCCTCGGGCTGTGCGCTCGTCTCCACACCCCCTGCCCCTGTGCCGCCCCCCCCCGTCCTCAGAGGCAGGGGGGCGGCCACGCCCCGTGTGCCCTATGGCAGCGGCTCCTGCTGGGGAAATCCCGGGGGTGCGGCTCAGACGGACCCGCACGCCAGGGACAGGGACGCCAGGGCCGTCTGTCTGCGCGCCGAGCGCGTGGCCGCACTGTGGCCCTGGGGCCCGGGCTGGTGGGTGCTGTCCCCCCAGAACCTTGCCGGCGGCAGCCGCAGCCAGGCCGGCCGTGGAGGCCCCTAGGCCCACGTGGGCCGGGCGACCCCACCAGCCGGGCCGTCGAGGGGACTCTGCGCTGCCGTGCGTCGGCGCACGGGGCGTGAGCCTGGGGGAGCCTGGACCCCGGACGCCGCCTGCCCCCCTGCCTCACGCAGTCAGATGGCGAGAGTCCGCAGGCCCCAGGACACCTGGGAGACCCGGACCCACAGGTGCCCCTAGGCAGGAGCGCGCCCTGGGGCAGCCCCAGGCGCTGACAGAGCCACAGCCCGAGAGGTGGGATGGGGTTAATTCCAGGTTAAGGTGGAGGAGCAGCCGCACGCTACAGAAGCCAGAGGTTGTGGCCACACTTAGCTGCCAGCGGGGACGTCCTGATGCCTGGGCCTCGTCCACCGTCCTGGGGACACAGCTGACTGGCTGCGCTCAGAGCAGACGGCTCGGCCCGGCTCCTCGCCTGGGAGCGGGGGCGGCGGCGCTGCCTCCTGCTGCCGGGGCCCCACGGGCGGGCTCCCTGAGCTGCACCCGGCCCGCCCTCGGGGACCGCAGGCGCCGCCGTGTTTACCAGGCCCCCCAGGCCTCCCCGCGATGGGTACCGGGTGCTGCTGGGGCACCTTTGGGTGTCGCATGACTGGGAGCGGGAGCGGGGGCCGCGCTGGCCTTGGAGGGCAGAGGGCACGGCGGTAAACGCCTTGCGGCGGGAAGAGCCGTCCCGCCCAGGTGCCAGGAGCCCTCCCTGAGAGACACTTTCCTCCCCAGGAGCATTTAGGAGGGACAGCTGCGGCTTCTCGGCCACCTCTTGGCCTAATCACTTAAGGAGACGCCCACACGCCCCTCTGAAGGCCCGGCTGGCGCTGCCTGTCCCTCTGCCCTGAGCGGACCAGCACCTGCGTCCTCCACAAGTGTCCCCCCATCCGGCTGCCTCCTTTCCTGACACCTCAGCAGGCGCGGGGACTATCGCTGATCCCTGTACTTCCCCACTCAGTGGGTGCTGCCGACGTTACAGCTCGGCACTAACAACGCCCCCCCAGCCCCGGCCCGTGCCCAGGGCAGCGTCTGGGCCCTGGGGTGACTGCCGGCCCCGTCCCGCCGACAGGACCGCCGGCCCCGGCTCGTCCCTGCGGGCGTGGGGAGCGTGTCCGTCCATGCAAGGGGCCGCCGGGGGAGGCATGCACGTGCCCCGCCCCCGCCCCGCATGCACAGCCGCAGACCAGGCGTCCGGTGTTAGGGGTCAGTGGAGCTGCCGAGAGAGAGCGGTTACAGCGAGCGAAGGACAGACACCCCGGCTACCTCCGGACACTGTCTCCAGCCAGGCCTGCACGGCTGCGCGGCGCGCGGAGGGGCGGTCGGGCACTGAATGTGGAAGAGACACAGACACGAGGTCACACGGGAGGCGGCGCCCGTGAGCAGCATCGCGTCGCCCCTGGCGTCCAAGTCGAAAGCTCCGCCGAGGTGGCGGCACGGCCGGCAGGTCGGCACCGACGGGGGCGGGGGCGGCGAGCCTGTGTGGAGGGAGAGCAGGGCGCGGAAAGGAGGAGACGCGCGGCGGGCCCTCTGCTGCCCGTGCGCTGCTGCCGATCCGCCGACCGCGTCGCTCCTGCCTGTGGGAGAAGACTGGGGCCGGGAGGCGCAAGTCAACGGGCTACACGCAGGGACCACACCCTCGCGTCCTCAGAGACGCCAGCTCCTGGCGGACGAAGGGAAACGTGCGACGGAGGCGCGGGAGGCGGGGAGGCGGGGAGGCGGGCCGTCGTCCCTGAGGCCCCTTCCCGTGTCCCCCCGCGCGGACCACTCGCCCACAGCCTCGAGCCGCCCAGGGCCTGACGGCCGTGCCTCCTGACAGCTCTGGCCCGGTCTACAGCGGGCCTCCGGGCGCCCCGGCCGCCACACGCTCACACACAGGCACACCCCACGAGCACAGGGCCAGGCCCCACCCAGGGCAAAGGCGACCTGCCTCCTCGCTGAGGAAAGGGAAGCTGGTTCTCCCTGCCCCGGGGCCAAGTGGCTGGCACCACCTGCTGGCATCGCTGGGGAAGGTGCTCGCCACTGAACCCAGAGAACGCGCCCGGCAGGGTCAGGACGAACGTGAAGGGAATAAAATGTCTGTCAGCTCCTGCTTCGGCCCTGCGGGCACAGCCCCCACAGCGCGGAGAGGGGCCCTGGGTGCGGGATCCGAAGCGTTACCTTGGGGAGCGGAGGGCGCGGAGCTGGGCGCTGTGCGCTCCTCCTCCTCCTCCTCCTCCTCGCGGACATGCGTCCAGTGCACATCCGCCTGGATCTGCAGGGGGTCGGCCACGCTCGGGGCCTGCCGCAGCCTCGGGCTCCCGGCGGCTGCGCCCAGTCCCGGTGGGGGAGGGGCGCGGGGAGGGGCGCGATGAAGGGGAGGGATGGTCGCGGGAGCGGGGACAGAAGGGAAACACCACAGGAAAGGAAACAGAAAGGAGAGTTACCTCGCTTGCCAGACGGAATCAGAAAGCAGTAAAAAGCGAGACCATGCAGCAGGTCACACACACACACGCGTCCAGCGTGACGTCCTTCCCAGGACCACGTGCACCGTGAAGGTGCAGGAGGAGACGCGGCCGGTGCACCCAGGGCCTCGCTCCCGACGCCCCCTCCGGGGGCTGCACTCGAGGGCCCAAGGCCACGTTGGCCGGACCAGCAGCCCCAAGAGCCGGCCCGAGGGCGGGGGCGGGCGGGACGGGACCGTGCCTTTCTGCCATGAACCGGCCCACTCACACGGGACAGAAAGGCCTCTCCCGGGGCTTCAGGCCTCACCTTCTGTGGCCAGAACAGACCCTCGCAGGGGCAACAGCCCGGGGAGGCTGCCAGGGGCTGGAGGCGGCGGGCAAGAGGCCGAGTGGGGTTTCCCTGCGCCCGCAGGCGCCTCTGGGCCCTGCCAGGGGCAATCCTCCGCTTCCACACAAGGGGGAGCCAGAGAGCCGCCAACGCGGCGAGGGAGGCCCGCGGGGAACAGAGAGGGGGGTGGAGAAGAGGGACTCGCGCCGCCTTCAGGGGCACAGCGGTAACGGCCTCGCGCCGCCGTCCACTCAGGGACGGACGGCCTGCCCCCTGCGGCCAGCAGGGCCTGGGCCAGCGTCCGGCTCCTTCCTCCCCTTCCCCAGAGCTGCCCCGTGGGCCCTACCCCTGCGGGGGAGCTGGAGGTGGACCGGCCCCTGCGGGCCTGGCCGGGGCCTCAGGCCGCTCAAGGTCCTGCCTCCGGCCGGCGGGGCTCTGAGCCCGGCCCGCACGCGGCCCTCGGTGCGCCAGAGCAAGCAGACCCCAGGTGGACCGGGCAGCCGAGCCAGCAGGGCCAGCGCCGCCTGCCCAGGCCGGACACGCTGACCGCCGCTCTGATGGCCGGAGGCCAGGTCCTCCGTCCCCGGGAGGGGGCCCGCCCTCAGGGCGCTTCGTTCCCACCCACCAGACCCCTTTCACAGCCAGGACACGGAAAGGACCCCGTCTCTTCCACGGAAGCCCAGCAAACTCCTCGCTCACTCGGGGCCTTGCATGGCCAGGCGCAAGGACGGGGACAGGGTTGGGTCAGCTTGACCCAAAGCACAAGGACATTTCCGAGCCCAGCAGACCCGCCCGACGCTGGAGCCGACACTCCTGGACAAACACGTGGGCGCGGCTTCCGGCTGGGCTGGCCCGCTCAGCCCCCGCGGCTCCGGCTCCGCACGAGTGACCGCAAGCGTCGCTCTGCGCAGCCTGCGGCCTCGAGGGCCAGGAGTCGGGAGCCTCTGGAAAGCTGTTTCCTTTCCTGGTTAAAACAAACTTCACCGACCGAAACCAAAGAGGAAAACAGCAAGACGGGAAGGAGAGGCGCACGCGGGCCCCAGCTTGGCCCTCACTCCCGCCTCAGCCCAGAGCCTGCCTGGGGCCACCGTGCCAGGCTCCTCTGCCCACGGCCGCGGGCTGGGGCCGGGGCGCCGACGCCCCCGCCCCAGAGACCCTCACACGCAGGCGGGGGCAGGGGGCCGCAGGACGGACGGGGCCACAGCGGAGAGGGATGGTTTTCTCACCTTCGCTGGACTCTGCATCGTAGTCCTCCTCCTCCTCCTCTTCTTCCTCCTCCTCCTCCTCCTCCTCCTCCTCCTCCTCTTCTTCCTCCTCCTCCTGCTCCTCCTCCTCCCCCCCAGGTTCGCGGCTCCGGGAGGCATCCAGTTCCTCTTCACTCTTGCCTTTGAGAAGCGCGTGGATCCTCACGGCTTCCTTCCAGGGCACGCCGCCCAGGTCCGAGGTGGGCAGAGGCGGCTCCTCTTCATCCTCCTCCTCCTCCATCTCAGACTCGGAGCTGCTGTGGGAGGAACCACACGGCCACGTCAGGGGAGACACGACAGCAAGGGGCGCGCGTGGGCCGCAGAGCACGGCTGGACTGGAAGGCCCCCTTGGAGGGCCAACCTGCTGCCCTGAGCGGGGGGATGGGAAGGGCGGGAGGGGAGGGGAGGGGACAGAGGGCAAAATGGCAGAGACACGGGTCAGCTGCCGACCCCGCAGACCACAAGAGGCCCTGGGCCCTTTCTGCTGTGAACTCACGACCCCAGGGGTCAAGAGTGGCGAGTGAGCCTCCTTTCACTGTGAGCCCACGGCAGAGGAAGAGCCACCGCGGGAGGCTCGAGCGGCGTCTCCACACACCGGTGGGCCGTCGAGGCGCGGATGCTGGAGGGGGCCGCACAAGCTGGACGCTGCAGGGCAGACAGGCCGCGGGGCGAACGGAGACCGCGGGGACAGGGCGGGAGCACCGACCCCAGGCCGCGGCCCCGACAGGCGCGCGTGGGCCCCGCTGCCCCTCCCAGCCCCGCCAGGGGTCCGGGGCTGCAGCCCTGCCCGCGAGCAGCCGCCTGCCCTGACTCCCGTGCACCCGCCTGTTAGGGAGTCCTGAGTCCTCCCAGCACACGGCCCAGCTACGGGGGGCCGGGCGCCCCCCACGGGACCCTTGGCTGCCCGGGCGGCGGGGCCCTCAGGGCCGGCGGGGGGTGGGGCGCTCTGCGGCGGCCCACCAGCCGCGCGACCCCGGGCAGCCGACGTGCTCTGGGAGCAGCGGTGCTACCGCTGGGAGCAGCGGTGCTACCACCGGCCGCGCAGGCCCCCGCGGGCACGAGGGGCTCCCCTGTCGTCACGCCGCGTCCCACTCCGGGGCCCCCCCCGCCCGCCCAGCCCACCTGCTAGCCGCGCCCTCCTCCAGGCCCTTGTCCAGCACGCTGCTCAGGTTGTGCTCGGCCTGCGTCTCCTCGGGCACCTCCTGCAGCTCTGCGGCCTGCTGCACAGACAGGCGGTAGTTCTCCAGTTCGATCCGCTCGGGGGTGCCCCGCAGCCTCTTGGCGATGCTGGGCTCCTCCAGGCCGTTCACACTCGAACCTGCCAGGGAAGCAAAGCAGCGAAGATCTGTGAACAGCTCGGGCGCGGAGCCCATGCAGCGGGGACGATGGGGCGGGCGGGGGCACTGCCAGGAGGCGCATCTCAGCACCAGGCAGCTGCCGCTCCTTTCAGTAAAGGGGGACAGCCCCCCACAAACACCAGGGAGCTGGAGGAGGGGAGACAGAAAGTCAGCAAGGCCGTGGGTTTGGCGACGGCCAGGACCTGGGGCAAGGGCAGCAGCAGGGCCGGGAGCCTCCTGAGGCCCCCGCACAGGGCGGGGCAGGGAGACGGGGAGAACCTTGAGGCAGCTCTGGCACGGCCCTGAGCCTGCTCCCAAAGCTTCCACCGCAAAGAGCAACAGGCGAGTGATGAGTCCTCCCCACAGCCCCACCCCTGACCCAGGATCTAACCGTGGCTCCCGCCCCGCGGCGGCTGCTCGCCACCCTCCCGCCCCAGCGGATCCCTCTGCCTGCTCAGAATCAGAGCCACTGGCCATGCTGTCCGACGGCACCGCGTCGTGCCGCTGCCCCTCCACGGCACGCAGGTACAGGGACCCCGCCTGGCGGCCCTGGAGCAGGAAGCACCCCCGTCTTGAGGAGGGGTCGCCTCGCGGTGGCCCCCTGCCGCCGGCAGCTCGGCCCGAGCCAGGTGTGGCCGCGGGGGCCACAGACCAGTGACGCGCGTGCTCTCACGTCCCTTCTCCACTCTCACCCTTTTGTAAACAAAGTTTCCTATTTCATTTTTTTTTTGACACCCACACGTGTCCTCGTCACACCTGTCTCCCGTGAGGGCAGTGCTGGGACGGGCCTGGAAACAGGACCTGTGCCCGGGGACAGAGGCCCAGAGGGGCCGGCGGACGAGGGGCGCAGCACCTTGCTTGGGAGGGGCCCACTGTGCTGCGCCTGCTGCCGCGCCAGCGGCTCCCCCTCACCCAAAACAAGAGCCCCCGGCACCGAGTCCAACCGGGTGTCGCAGGCTGCGCCCCCCCCCCCCCCAGCTGCACGGAGGTCCCTGGGGGGCGTGGCTGGGGCTCCAGCCGACCAGGCCCCAGCGAGGGCCAGGGCCCACGTGTGACCCCAGCTCTGCCCACGATAAGCGAAGGGACCCGCTCAGCCCTGGCGTCCCGCTGACCGGAGCCCTGGCTGTGCTGGGTTCCCCGTCCCGGTGCAGGGCCCTAGGGCGTCCTGGGAGCCGCAGTGACTTCGCCCCCCGCCCTCCCGCGCACGCTGAGGAGACGCGACAGCCAAGTGCCTGCCCAGACTCAGCGACGCCTGGAGGGAGCCGGCGAGCAGGCGCGACCCCGCTCTGCGCTCTGCAGACGAGCGCGCCCAGCCCTTCCCACTGCGTCTCCCCCGGTCTCTGCTGGCTGGGGACCCCCGTGGGCCCCCCGCCCCGCAGAGAGGCAGCCCTCCGGCCAGTCAGTGGCAATGGTCCCACCACGCTCTCGCCTGGTTATTCCAGTGCTTCATGGGACCCACACGTGCGTCCATCGTTCCCGGTTTTCCTATAATGCTTTTAAGCAAACACAATTCCCGTGCATTTCAGATTATGTGCTGCCTGCAACCACCTCGTGAGGCAGAGAACAGCAGGCAGCATTTTGTCCATTTTCTAGTTTTATGAAATGGGGAAACTGAGGCTCAGGGAGGTGGCTGAGCACAGACGACGGGGAAAAAGGCGACAGAACCGGATCTCCAGTTAGCGCCATCTCGTTCCCACGCTCGCTCCGTGTAGAAGGAGCGCGGCTCCTTTAGGCTGCGGCCGTCCAGGAGGCGCACACGTGGGGGAAGCGGGCAGAGGCGTCCGCCAGCACAGGCCGCGTTCCCGCAGGGCCCCGCGCGTCCTCGAGCAGCCGCGCCCTGGGGGTGCATGTGTGCTCCCAGCAGCGCCGCGCTGCGGGGTTTCGGGACCACCGTGCTGACTGCGGGCTGCGCCGTGTCTGTCGGCCACGCTCGCCCTTCCCGGTTGCTGACGCACAGCCAGCAGGGTGAGGCTCGCTGCACGTCCGCGCCACGTCTTCCTTCTCTTCACGTGAGCTGAGGTCGGGGGCTGTTATCGGCAGTGACTTTCCCACGTGTCACGTGCAAAGCCTGCAAACGCTTCCAGTGGGAAGAGGCAGGGGTGCTGCTGGGTCTCCGTCAGTGCAGAGGACAGCCCTCCACCGGAGTTAGCCGGCCCGCGGCGCCAACCGTGCCGGCGGGAGACGCAAACCCTGGTCTGGAGCTGGCCTCTGACCACGTGGGGCCTCTCACCACACAGGCCAGGCGGCCGGCCCCGCCTTCAGGGGCCGGGTGTGTGACGAACACAGAGCAGGAGCTCGTGTATCTTCACCTGTGGCCGAGGTGAGACGCCCGGACCAACAGAAATACAAGGGAAGGACTGGGTGACAACGGCCACGCCGAACAGACAGCTGCTGGCTTGTCTGCGGAGAGAAACCAGAAGAGTGAGCTGGCGCTAAGGCCACGCTCCAAGCAGCAGGACAGCGCTGGACTCCTGTCGCCGCACGGCACAAACCCACTCACAGGTCACGGCTCAGCCCGCTCTGTGCAAAGCCACGGAGGGGCCCCCGGGTACACCCCCACAGGTTTCTCTTGCATATGAGCCCTACTAGTGGCCAAAGTGCAAATTAAGAGACCAAAAACGAGTCTGGCTCACAGTCCTCCTTTCCCTGCTTTTTTCCCAGGGGACGCCGGACACGCGCCGGCGGTGGCACAAGAGCCCACACGAAGCCCAGGGGGAAGCCCGGCGCACGGGCCCCGCGCCGAGAAGCTCGCCCTCCGTCTCCCCGCACCCGCGACTCTTCTTTTCTCCCCCCGTTTCTAAAAACATCCCCGCGACGCCCTCAGGCGCGCGCTGTCGGGGCACCGGTCCCGCGGCCGCGTCTCCACACCCTCAGGAAGCTTCCTGGACGCATTTCTGTACCCACACCAACTCTGCCCAACACGGCGAAACCTGACCTCATCCACAACGATGTACACACTCACCCCAACCTGCAGTCCGTCACTTTATGTGCGTTCGGTCCAAAATGGCTCGAACGTGGATACCTGAGAATTTCTGCATTCCTCTCCTGCCACGGGGGGGTTTGCCCAAAGTGTCAGGACAAAAGGGGCGACAGCTGGCTCTGCCCCCGACACCCACCGCCCCTCCGGGCAGGGCAGGGAGTTTCCCACGAGGACCGCAGGCGGCACCACACGTCAGCTCAGCCGTCCCCGGGGCGCGCACAGTGACGCAAGCAGCACTGAGACCCTGGGCCGGGGCCCGGTCGGCAGCAGCTCCCTGGCCACCGACTGGCCGCCCCCCGGAGGGACGCGGGGAGGCGCGTCCTAGCCTGTTCTTACCACCACCGCCGCAGGCTGGGTTTTATTCACAAAGAGCAAGAAGAGAGCCGATGCACCGCAGCGTGTTCCCAGCGGCCGAGGTGCGGACGCCCCCGCGTGCCCACCAGCGGGCGGGCAGGTGAAGACGACCCGCAGACACGGGCACACGACACGGGCGTGAGAAAAGGCGAAACACGGCGTTGGCGCCAACAGGGATGGATCGGGAGGGCTCTCCGCTGCGCGAGGCCGTCGCCGGGGAGACACAAACCCTGTCTGATTCCACTCACGGGCGGAATCTACACGAGACAGACAGACGGACACAACCGAACAGAACCAGACAGACACAGAGACCAGACCGGCCGTCACCAGGAGAAGCGCGTCGGGGACAAGGTGGGCGAGGGGGTCTACGGTGCGAGGGCGGAAGGCAGCTGGGCTTCTGGGCGGCCACTCCAGCGCATGGGAGGCCGAACGGGAGCGCCGCACGCGTGCACCCGGGAGACGCGGGCCCCCCGCTGAGGGAAGGGCTGGGCTGCGGGCGGGGGCGGGGGCACGAAGAGGGTGCCCGCTTCCTGGGACGCACGGCCGCCAGCGGCGGCCCTCTCCCCCTGGCGTGCCTCGGAGGCCCTTCCCGCGCGCGTGGCAGCGGCGTGGCCCTCAGCTCGCCCACCTGCTGCTGTCCCGCTGGCGGCGCGGCTCCTGGCCCAGGGTACAGCGAGGACGTCGGGGACGGGTGCGTCCCAGGGATGAGGACGCCTGCAGGGCGTCCCTGCCTGCCTGGGAGGGACCTTATTTGCGGCGCCACGCGCACGGCGCTCTTCCCTCTCGGCTGCCGCGGAAGGCGAGGCTGCAGGGGAGGAGGGGGCGCACTGGCTCTCGAGTCTCCTGCACCGTCCGCCCCATCCTCGGCGCGGCTGCGTGCCCGTCGGCCACTGGGACGGTGGTGAGCGGACCCGTGAGGGCCAGGCCGGGGCCCAACAGCCCCTGCCATCGTCACGTCACGTCTCAACCCGGTTTTCTGAGTCTCGGTGACGCAGCTCCCGCGGGAGCCCGACGATCACCGATCGCCGGGAATCAGGAGTCAGGGCAGCTTGGGTTTTGCTCCTTATTTTTTTCTGAGGAAGAGATGTCGGCAGAGAAGGGGGAGCTCTTGGTTGTGAGCACCGGCAGCCCCGCCACAGCGTTCCGGCAGCCTGCTCTTGGCGCCTGGCAATGCCAGCGGCCCTGGCTCTTCCCTCCTGCGGCCGGCTCCTCCCCGAGCGCCCGGGGCGCCCTGCACAGCCTGCGGCCCGGGGCTGGGCCTCCCGATGCGGTTCCCCAGGAGGGTGGACCCCACGAAAGGGCAGGCAGGCTCACATGAAACTCTAGGAGAGAATAATCACTTCTAAACGAAGAGCCGACTGACTGGGGTAGGAGCCGGGTTGGTAACACAGTGCGGAGATGTTGTGCAGCGGGTCTCTCCCCAACGTCGGCCTTTCTAGATGCGGACTGAGTTCCAAACAGGGAACCAAGAGTCAGGAAGCGGTAACAGCTCTATCCTAGTCGATTTCAGCTATATCTTGGCTACTGGGGTACATTCGCTCCTTAGAGATAAAGTCCCTTCCTGGGCCCCCGTGAGTGCTGAACTCATGACACATTTCCAGTTCGAATTATGAGCAGCGGCCAAATGCCGAGACGACCCCCCGGCTG